CGAGGTGTAAACTTTAGGGTTAGTGACGAGGTGTAAACTTTAGGGTTAGTGACGAGTTGTAAACTTTAGGGTTAGTGACGGGGTGTAAACTTTTCTTCAAACCTAATTCCGTGACAGATTATGAATTCAAAAACAGTCTAGGCCTCGAGATTTAATCTTGAAAATTAATCGAAAACAAAGCTAGAAAATATACACAGTATACACTCACCAAATTTCGTTGTAATACTGGTAGCAGACTTAGGTTGTGACATTGATGTGTCTGTGCTCACCGATTGATCCTTATTGTCGATATTATTTTCAAACAGTTTTTTCACTCGGTCGTTAGAGGTCATTGTAGGCTGATGTAAGAAAAACGATTCTTTATTGGCTGGTACAGAACTCGGAGGGAAAGGAGTTTTGTAACCGTCCATACGGTTACTAACCGAACTTGCATCGCTTGATTGCCTGAAGTGTTTGTAGTCAACTTGTGGGGGGTCATCGTTAACCCCTGAAGTCGCTTGACAATGACTGCATTTATGCTGACAGTGGTGATGTAATCCGAAGGAGGTACTACTCACACGTTTGGAAGCGACTGATTGGTTGGTAGACCCTCGGGGAACCGCCCCTGTAATAGATGTCTGACTCGTGGACCTTACGTCAGATGTATAATCGTCGGACCAGCTAAAACTTTCATCAGATGGTGAGGAGGGACAGGAACATCCATCGGAACCCTGTTGATAAAAACAAACAGACAACCAGGTTATAAGTTTCTTTCATCTGTCATTAAAAAAGATCTGTTATCTCTTAGATCAGAAACTCTTCAGAATAGCACCAACAAGAACAAAGATATCTTCTGAAGGGCATTCAACCGTAAGAAACTTAATTTTAGATGGAAGACTTGACCAATGTGAATTATGCATCGGGAGTTAAAACATGAAAAGTGTGTTTATGTGTGTGTGTGTACGTGTATATAAAACATGAAAACTGTGTATATATACACACGAATACTGGAGTCAAAATATGATAACTGTAGTATTTTAAGTTTCGGCGAAAAGCCAGGTTTACCTCACTTTCTATAGAGTTCTTACACACAGAATAAATAAAAAAGAACTGGTAAACCTAATCTTCTGCCATGAATGTAAAGGTATTTTGTTATTGTGAATGTGACATTATTTAAACCACAGATAACTCCTATCCTGTGGTACACAAAACCATAGATAACCCCTTTGTCCTGTTGTACACAAAACAACAAGTATATACTCAGTCCTGTGTTATACAAAACTACGTGTGCGTTTTACAATAAGAGGTCATCTAAAGGTACCAGTTTAATGACACAATCTTAACATTATAGTTAAGTCGTCTGTGGGTCATCTAAAGGTACCGGTTTAATGACACAATCTTAACCTTGCAGTTAAGTCGTCTGTGGGTCATCTAAAGGTACCAGTTTAATGACACAATCTTAACCTTATAGTTAAGTCGTCTGTGGGTCATCTAAAGGTACCAGTTTAATGACACAATCTTAACCTTATAGTTAAGTCGTCTGTGGGTCATCTACAGGTACCAGTTTAATGACAAAATCTCAACCTTATAGTTAAGTCGTCTGTGGGTCATCTAAAGGTACCAGTTTAATGACACAATCTCAACCTTATAGTTAAGTCGTCTGTGGGTCATCTACAGGTACCAGTTTAATGACACAATCTTAACCTTATAGTTAAGTCGTCTGTGGGTCATCTACAGGTACCAGTTTAATGACAAAATCTCAACCTTATAGTTAAGTCGTCTGTGGTAGCTTTTTTGTCTCATGTACCATGTAGTAACCTTATCCTTCAGGTGGATTATCAGCGTAAATAACCGAGAAGAAATGGCTAAAATTACTAATTTCCAATGTAAAACTATACAGGGAATCCTTATAGCAACCAATATGATTAATTACGATATTGATGGTGTTATTTTAATTTTGTCATGAGATTCAAGTTATTAGGTTTACCTTGAACAAGATCAGCACTAATAGTCATTTGGAAACTATAACAGAAAGATGATGCTTGTTAAGTCAACCTTAATAAATAATTTCCCACCACCTCAAGCTTTTTTAAAACTCTAAATTGCGACGATATCAGTGAACGTTCTTACTTAATATACAATACTGAAAATTTACAGGTTGTAAATATATAGGACGTATCAATTATGAAAAACTGGATGGTAATTTTGCCACTAGTATAAAAAAATATTATAAAAGATGAAGGAAAACGTTTTATATTGCATTAGTATTTTGTAGTTGCCTTAGACAGGGTATGTACGCTTTGTTTAAATGTTTTTCAGTATATGATAGTGAAATCTTGTTCTAAGTGTTCTGTATTACTCCCCACAATTCAGCCAAGTTGTTTGGTTACTGTTTCACCCTCACAGTTTCCATAACACCTTACTAATATTGATGTCTGGACTTCGTGTTGGCCAAGCCATGGTGAGAGTGTTTCTTCTGCTTCTTCCTCCTTCCAGGTATCGATTCACCACATTTGCTGCATGTTTGAGATCACTGTATTGTTGGAATACGAATCCCTGCCTAATCTTGTTCCTCAAGGAATGGCATGATCGATAAAAATCTGCAGTTAGTAGTCAGGGTGCCATCAATTTTGTGTAGATTTCCAACACCAGTGGCTGATATGTAGCCCACACTTGTATTGGTCCCCCAGCATGCTTCACTGCAGATTATTTATGTTGGCTGTGATACCGTTCTCATCGAACACTCTAACATTGATTGTTGCCAAGCAATTAAAATTTGAATTCATCTATAAAGAGCAACCTAGTGCAGGCTTTGTTAACCCTAATTGTTTGAAGCCTTTGGTTCGACTGTCTCATCTAACCAGTGTTTTTTGAGAAGTTGCTGCTGGGAATAGTATGACTGTCGGTTCGTACTTTATATATATCATGCTGGTGTGGCACTGTCTCATTGGTAGAATGACAGCTAATTATAGTACAAGTTATCAACAGGTGACCGTATTCTGATGCATTTCATTTGGATACAGTAGAGAGGAAAATTACATAATATTGTAGATAATCAAATTTATTACAAAACTACACACGAATCATTTCGAAAACATAATAGATGGCGCTAGCTAATTCATACCTAAAAAGCATTTGTAAAACTGAAGTATGAAATGATGTATATTTTATAGCTTCTTTTAATAACTTATAAATAATAATTTTATCAAAATACCCAACCAGTCTTACCACAGTCCTGTGTGAGGCCTGGTAACGAGAGTTGCTATGTGATCGACAACTCGTACACAAGTTTTCACTTTTGTCCTGATGTCGGGGATCCGATGTATATTTGATCAGAAGTGTGAGACACTGAAAAAAAAATAAACTTAGATATCACTCTTTCTCATGTTTAAAAGCCATAGTCAGACTACAGAAAACAAACACTCGGTATGTTTTTTGAGACGGGCCAAAATCAAACTAATGAGTAATTCACCAAAATAATCGTTATTGCTCAAATGTGTTTAACGGGATTTTATTTATATAAGTTTTATTTTTAGGACTAAAATAATAGTTTTGACTTCATGTGTATAAATAAAATGAACAGGATCAGTGTTAGGATCGAAAAAAACTCAACACAGTTGATAATTCGTATAGGGAAAACCCAGCACAATTCATTAATCCTAAAGGGAAAACCTAGCATAGTTGATAATTGCAATCGTGGGAAACCTATTTTTATCGTTAATATCCAACAAAGTAAGGCTTAGCGCTAACAAAAAACATACATATATATGTGTGTGTGTGTGTGCTTAATCGTGTATTTGTGTACGTGTTTTGTTATCATTACTTCCGTTAGTTGGCTATACTCACCTACATACAAAGTAGTCCAACTTTCTGGCGAACTCAGTTTAATATCTTTCCAGAAGTGATCGAGATTAACGGTTCGTTTCCCGTTGCGTAAAAGCACAGTCCTTTATTTGGAGCTGTCGGTGCGTTATATGAGCGGCAGTCAAATCCCACCATTCGGTGAGCCCATAAGATGGCTATCAGTTTAAAATTAGGGTAAGAATACGCGATGCAGATTTACGTGAAAATTATAAAATCAAAACGTTTCTTTAGCAAGGCTGTCCAAGTTTCTCAAGTTTTAGCGTCCATCCCTCCCAGATCCAGATCCGTGCCCCCCCCCCCAGTAGCACAGCGGTATGTCTGCAGACTTACAACGCCAGAAACCGGGTTTCGATACCTGTGGTGGTCAGATCACAGATATCCCATTGTGTAGCTTTGCGCTTAACTACAAAAACAAACACTCAATCAATGCGTCATTATTAAGAAATTATTTCTTGGGTCTGCCTTTTGCCAGTTTGAGGCCTGTAACACCTTGATGCCTGGTAAAAATCTATGGTTTTTTTTTGTTTGTTTGTTTTGTAAAACCGAGAAACAACTCATTTGTAAACTAATTCAACCTCATTCTGGCAGCTTCACTCTAGGATTCAACAACGATAAAACAAAATTAACGGACTCATCTTGGAACCTACCTCCATATGACTGTTTTCCGCTGCATCGTTCAACGGGCTCTTGCCATGTTTGTCAAGTAATATCCGACTGCCGTGTTTCAGAAGCCAGCGAAGAGATTCCAGGTGCCCTCTACTAGCGGCAAAGTGAACTGCAGTCGCACCATCATGATCACGCATATTAGGATCTATCCCCTGCTCTTCCACCTGGTACATTGACAACATTTCTATGTATGTAAAATTAATTGTTTTAAAAAATAAATATGAAACAATTTAATAACTCACTGGCGACGTGGGGGGCAGATCCTCCACATGAGATATCAGGGTTTAGGACCTTTTAAGATTTTTAATTTCCTCCTTACATTATCACACCCTCTGACCTGCCCCCCCCCCCCAGTGACACAGCGGTATGTCTGCGGACTTACAACGCTAGAATCCGGGTTTCGATACCCGAGGTGGCCAGAGCACAGATAGCCCATTGTGTAGTTTTGTGCTTAATTACAACCAAACAAACCCTCTGACCTGAAAATGTGAATTTTTTTTAAGTATCTTCAACCGAATAAGACCTCTGTTTGTGTAGGTGGGTGGGGGGTAATCGTAGTTTGAAACAGCACCAAACTATTATATAAAAAGAATAAATAAAGACTTCTTAAAAGCAAAAGCCTAATTCTTTTGTATTTAATAACACTTGATCCCCTTCTGCCCCCTTGAGTCTCCCTGTACCAAATAAAAAACTCCCAGGAACACCATTGGGAGTAGTCAAGCGACGTTTTGCGAGCCATGTGGGGGTAGAATTTACGTATCTCCCTCCCCCCTCCATTTCCATTTACCCGTACAAATATCCCATGGGTAAGTAATGGTCTCCATCAACCCACGGGGTGTTGGACAGTTATATTGATTTAACTGAAGATGAAACAGCAGCAAACATCCTATAGGTTACTAAGAATTTAAAAAAGATTGACCACGCCTGCAGAGAATGTCATAATCTTCCGACATAGTTAATTTGTTAACGACGATTAGACCGGACTCACGTGACCTTTGTAAAATTATTTTAAACAGTGATAATAAATTCACGAGTTATCTGTTCTAAACGTTTATAACGTAAAGCTTGGAAACGTAAAACGTAGTTGGCTGAAAATATGACTCTCAAGACCTTAATATGGCTTTCAAGGAGAGAGAACATTACAGTTGTTTTCAGGAAAGAATAAACATAACATAATGGTTTGGAACAACGTGGGACCTATTTGGTCCATCTCGGCTGTCCCATCCTCCAAACCAGTGGTTCCCAACCTGGGGTCCGCGTTGGTAATACCATCTCGTTAAACAAGTTTTTTTAATACTGCTGTTCTTTTCAATTGCACACTCAGTTATATAAGTCTTTTATTTGATAGTGAAAAGTGGGAGAACGAGTTAATTATTAATTAATAAAAACAGTTTGTTGGGTAGGAGGAATCTTTCAAAAACATGGGGTCCGTGGGGGGAAAACATTATAATAAAAGGGGTACTTGGTGAAGCAAAGGTTGGAACCACTGCTCTAAACTAAACTAAAACTATTAATAGATAAATAAAAATCTTAAAGCCAGCCCTTATCATTCATATAGTTATCAAGCTTTCTCTTGAACTCACTTAAATTTACTGCTTCCACAACATCTGAAGTTTGTTTGTTCTTTGCAGGAATACAAACATACTGTGAACATTTCTAAGCTATTTCATTGGAGTGTTTCTATTATTCGATTCCGAAATGAACGAAAAAAATATATATTCTCCAACGAGTGGACTAAGTGTATCGTCCAGTAAAGTCCAGTATTCTACCCCTCCCTCTTTCATTATTAATATTAGTCCGCCTTGGGTTTCAAACCTAAGCATATATCTGACGAAGTTGTAAAAGAGTTAAATCAAATAAAAACACGCACTGTAGATTAAAAATAAAAGAACGACCCGGATGGAAAAAAAAAATTCTTTAAAAATCGAAGGCCATCTATCGGCAAAACGTAAAATCAGCAGTATTAAAACTATATGGCTGGCTTTAAGATTTTTATTTACTTATTAATAGTTTTAGTTTAGTTTAGAGCAGTGGTTCCAAATCCATACAGTATCAAAACCCCTTTTTGATTTAATTTTTTTTCGCGAACCCTCCAAACCTATAGATATTTTTGTTTTGAAAAAAGAAAAGAAAAAAGAATCCGCGTACACGAAAAGCTGTATTCCAAAATCAAAAGTTTTAATTTAAATAAATTCAATTTTACGAAAATATTTTTGTATTCTATAAATCATTTATTTTTAAATATCTTTATGAAATTTCGGACATGACTTGCGCACCTCCTGGAGTACCCTCACGGACCCCAGTTTGAGAAACGCTGGTCAGTAGTTATCATGAAAGGTCATATCCAAAATGAAAACTCACGTACCAATATAGGGATAACAAAATCAAAATATGTGCCAGAAATATTTAAATGGCCCAGCATGGCCAGGTGGTTAGGGCATTCGACTCGCAATCTGAGGGTGGCGGGTTCGAATCCCCGTCCCACCAAACATGCTCGCCCTTTCAGCCGTGGGGGTGTAATAATGTGACGGTCAATCCCACTATCCGTTGTTAAAAAGAGTAGCCCAAGAGTTGGCGGTGATGACTAGCTGCCTTACACTGCTAAATTAGGGAGGGCTAGCGCAGATAGCCCTCGTGTAGCTTTGCGCGAAATTCAAAACAAACAATATTTGAATACGTAAGAACTGTGAGTGTGTATAAACAGAATGATAAGGGAAAAGAGAATCGTGTGACATATAGGTCGAAAAATTGATTGATTAATACAATTCATAATAAGGCACATTTTTCTTTTAATTGATTTTTATATCAAACCTCACCATCCATCTG